TCTCTCTAGGAAAAGGACTTCAGATTCTCCAAAGAGAATGAGCTCCAGCCTGGACTGTCTATGTCATCCTCGTTTTGCTATTCTCGCTGCCCACGTGGCAGCCCGACTCACACGCACGTGCAACTCCCAAACGCGGCGTGTGTGAAACAAAGTGCCATCAAATACCAAATTCTTCTCTTTCCTCATTTCTTTTTTGGAGAGTGACGCTACTGTTCCCTCCTTTTCCCAGGGTCAGAGGTGTGGATAATCTCCATCCAGGTGGTCAGTACGGTCCTTTCTGATGAGCCAGACCGTTATTTTAGTCTGTTACCCATCCTCAACTGTCTCGATCGCTGTCTTCCTCTGTTAGAGACTGAGCGTCCCTCACGGGAAGGGACAATGCCTTAAGATCTTCGTGTTCCCAGTTACCAGCTGGCTATTTTCAAACAGATGGCGTAAAAAGAGTTCGCTGAGCGAGTGTGTTGTTGCGCCGGGGTAGCCCATTACTCCCCTGGTCCGTATTCTCTGCTCCCTTTGGACACCCCAGTGTTGGGCGCTGCAGCCACAAACCCCCCGCCACTTCCCTGCACCGACGCCAGATGCCAGCTCTCCGGGGGCTCCCTCACAGCCCTTAAAGATCCAATCTGTGTCACTCTGCTCTCATGTTCCAAACATTTTTGGACTGTTTCGCTACTCTCCGGAAAAGCTTCTCATTACTTCCCAAATTGAAGGAGAACATCATGGGAGTTTCAAAAGATTTCATTTAATGGACATTCTCTTTTCCAGTTGTTTCACCTCTAATGAGATTTTTGCTTCTATTCTTTGCTCTAGTCCATTACATGTCCCAGTGCAACTTGAGGGTGACGTTCCTGCTCCCCTACATGGGCCTGTCCTTCTACTTCTCTGCTTAAATACCTGCCTTCGGAATGGCTTGATACTTCCTTCCTTCAGGAAGCTTCTGCTGGAATCTCAACACCACCACCTACCAACCAGCTGACCAGTACTCATAGCCTAGTTGTTTCTATGTGGTTTGCTAAGCTTCATGTGCATTTTGAAGCGTTTACTGCACTAGAATGCAAAATGCTCACAATAGTGCAGGCCAGATGCCTGGCTCAAGGGACCTGCGGCAGGACAGGGCGCATGTGGACTCCGCTGTCTAACAGATGGGCCCAAGTTACCATTCCTAGCCGTGAGCTGCAAAAAATGGGTTAATAATTACCTCCTGGAGTTGCAGAGGATTAACTGTGTAGCAGTCAGCCCAGCGCTGGGAAACCGTTAACTTGATATACGGCAATAACACAGTCACCACTAGACTCGGGGTATAAAACTCAGTTTGAGATCTTTTGCTTTTCAAAGTTGTCTTTTTCATAAGGGAACACGGGAGAGAGTGATTTATTTCTCCTGTTTAAAGTCTTAGGAAATGAGATCTTTCTTCTCACCTTTATATATTACGGCATATTAAATTTTTGATTCTCTGAATTAGGTAACCTCAAATTTACCTCACCCGGAAATGCTAATTTTTAAGATACGTGCGAATTGCTTTTTTAATGCCCTAAGACTTGGAGTGAAGAACCTGACTCGCTCTGTGGTATCCTTCTCATTCTGTAAGCGGTCTTGTCTTCTCATCACAAATAAAACAGAACAAAAAACAAAGCCGTGGTCCGATCTGAGAGTGAAGCCAGCGCGTGCAGATTCAGTTACTACACGGACACGCTCTGATGACAGAAAACTGGCTGAATTCGGAAAGGAAAAGGACGACCTCGTCCATTTGACTGTTGATGGGAAACGTCCTCACATTATGTTGCTGGGGACCCGAAGGTGGAAAGAGGGTTTCAAAACTGGAACTTGAATGATGAGCCTCTGAAGGGCCCTACAGTGTCAGAATATGCTACCAAAGACGTCACTGTCTTCTGGGAAGGACGACAAATGGCAGGGGACGGGGCTAGACCACGGGTGTCTGGTTTGACGGTTCACAGGGAGGGTGGTCGGGAGGCTCCGAAAATCGTAAAACGTTTCTGCCGAGCCAGTTCCCGGCAAGACGCCACCTCCGTGCGCGCCGCTTAAATATCTGCCCACAGACTTGAGCCCAAGTGACCTGGCAGCAGAGGGTGTCTGTGACGGTTACAAGACAATGGCCGTGCTTGCTTAGGATGGTGCGTGGGTGACAAACATGGCACTTTAAACATGAATTTATGAGGTGCGAACTTTTAATGCAGAGATGACTCATGAAGTTTCGGAATGTGTAAACACGGAGCACAAGCGAGCCGCACCGTCACGGCGCTCACCCACGGCCAAACCAGGCTGCGAACCCACCTGCCTGGATCACCAGGACGGTCACAGCATTTGCTCTTCGGAAGCTGATGAGGAAAAATCTCAGGCTGAGGTCAACATTTGTGCTGCACTACCATCTTATCTGGAACAAGTGTTTTATTTATTTCATCTGCATTTTGCAACATGTTTGATGGCAGCATTCAATTCACTCTTTCTCTGAGTTTGTGAAGCAGTCAATGTTTTGGAGAACTTACACTGGAAAACTTAAATAGACAGCAGTTGTATACTAAAGTAAAAAAAAATCAAATAGAGGCAATTTCTCACTGAAGTGTCTGGAATCAAGAAGAGTAAAATGGGGAAAAAAAGAAAAAAATGCAAGAAGGATCATAACTAAACATTTCAGGTATATGTTGAAAAAAACCCTAAGATGAGTATTTTATGTGATTCATTTCTGATGTTCCTTGTTTGAGGGTTTTATCCAATTGCTATAAACATTTCTTTTAACTGAAGACGAACTTCTAAAGACCAAAGCTTTAACGTTATTGGAGTAATATGGTGGAAGTAGATAATTTAGTTGTCAGAACAACAACCTTGGAAACTGTGACCAAACAGATACCCAAATTTTGGAGACCCCAAACTCAACAGGATGCTGTTTTAATACTTAAAAATTCTGTGGCCTTTAAAAGACAAGGAGAATATGAAAGAAACAACAGAGCTTAGTTAACCAATTCTTTAAATAGAACTAATCATTATTCATAGTTCCCTTAAAAGTGATTAAAATTTTCTAAACTGATAAAGATTTGTAAGTTAAACTTAAAAATACATTTCTCATTAGATTTTTCTGCATACAGAAAAAAAGAACTTCAGGGTATTTTTTAAAAAATATTCATAGGTCAGTAGAAACGAAATCAGAGGTTTTAAAGCTTTAACCACTACGTACTCAAAAAGTAAAAAAAAAAAAATCGTACCCTTAGCATTTAGTTTTTGATCACATCTATGTAAAATAAGAATGATTTTACAGAGTCAGTAAGGAAATAGTTAACAGTAAGGTTTTTAAGATTAAATATATTTACAGTAAAAATACATTTCTGGACATTGGATCATTCTTTTATTGATTTTGGAGGTCCATTTGAGAATCTCATTTATGAGGACACTCGCAGATAAGGAATAAATAAGCCTGGATTCCCTGAAACAATGGACCATACGGTGGTGTTTCGTTAAAGAGCGGCTACCGTACTTGGTTATATGCTTTAAGCTGTTACAAACACAAAACATTTACTCAATTCTAACTTAGCTGTTTGCTAACCAAATTCATTTCCTATAAGAGAAAGACCTCCTAGTTTCATTAGGTTAATACCTTGGTTGATTTTCTATTGAGGACTCAGTGCAGTATTAAGGGAAGTCACAGCACAGAAGCAAAGAGGTTTGTACCAATAATTCTCCGCATCTGAGTAACCACATGAGCAGACTACAGGTGAGAAAATTTCCTGCATGCTTATTTAGGTTTTAAGTCTTAAATACCATCAACTATAATTGTCAATGTACATTAGGTGCTCGTAGCCCCATAATCACTGAATCCTAAAGCTTTTACCCAAGTGGTCTTACTAACCGGGGGTAAGAAAACCCCCTGCCTTCTGACAGTCCAGTGGGACTACCAAAAAGAATTCTTATCCTGGCAAGCAGATCCAACTGGCTGAAACTAAGAATTTTCTTTTCCCGTTAAGTGGCCTCAGAGCGAAGGACATGCACTGCCGCTATGTCCTTCCAGCACACCTCGCCTCCCGTTAACTGCTCTAGCCCTGGCTGGTCTCTTCTGCATCTGTCAGGCCAGTGTTTGCTTCCACCGGCCAAGTGCCCACCAGCACCACGACACAACACACCTCAATGTCCGCTCCTTGTTCACCCAAGCCTGCGACGCACTGAAATGTGTATTTTATCTGAGTGGTACTCGTTCCTGTTCAATGAAGCGCTGGATTCACAAAGGGCGAGGATCACACCTCGTGTTTCCTCTGTAGCCTCTACCCTCGCCCCGCCGGCCGGCACAGTGTCGGACCCCAGGAAGCTCTTCATTAATCTACTGGATGCAGCAATTACAACTTCATGGCAGGCGTGCCTGGGTGGCGGGTAAGCACCCAACTTTTGATTTCAGCTCAGGTCGTGATCTCAGGGTCAGGAGATCAAGCCCCGAGTCGGGTTCTGCCCTGGCCGTGAGGCCTGCTTAAAATGCTCTCTCCCTCTCTCTGCGCCTCCCTCACCACCACTCGCCCTGCTCTCTCTCAATCTCACTCTCCAGAAAACAAAGCAAAAAAAACCTTCCTCGCAAAGCTTCTGCTCATTCTCTACCATAGGTTAGCTCAGTATCATAATTAGCTATAATACCGAGGCCACATCACATTAGCACTTTACAAATATTAATATATTAAATATGTTAAATGCTAGTGTTCCTTTTGTTAATTTAGTTGGTTAGATAGGATAGATAGCTTTTACAGTGTCTCTGTAAACCTCTCGTAACTGAGAACAACATCAACCAAACCCATTCCTCGACAGACCAGTCACCTGAGCACCTGTGTGCCCAAAAACGTTCTAGAAACGAAGGTCGCTGGTAATAATACTTTGTCTTGACGTAAGACGTAAGTCCTGGCCCGGCCCCTCACACCTGAGCCCAGACCAAATACTCGGAGAGGGGAGGCAGGCGAGGCTCACATCTCCTACTGTGTAAAGTGCTTTGCAGGAAGCTATATACACATACGTGTGTGAGGCACAGAAATCTTTATTGCCACAGGAAGCAAGTGCACTCGTCCCACCTCACCAACAGATGTAAGAGTCACAGGAACGCAGACGTCACGTGATCAAGTACAACGCAGACTTGGGGAGAAACGGTCCCTTGGACTATATCGGCTATAATACTGAGGTAACCAATTGACCTTGTTCAGTGAAAATACCTCGAACACAATGAAAAAATCAACTAGTTATAACATCCAATTCATATATACAATTCAAATAAAAATATATATTATTTGCTTCAATGTATATAGCAAATTTAATACATTAGTGTTTACAAAATAAAAACTGTATTCTACTGAAATTTTTCTTGTGCTTCCCCCTTATCATTAAGCTTGAAAGACTAGGAAAGTGTGATACTTAAGGAAACTTACTTATGGATTTAAAGATGCAGTTTGTGGGGCCATGAAAGACAGGTAAGTATTAACGGGAAGGTCACTGCATCTTTAAAAATTGTTGCTTATTAAAATCTACAAACTTGAACTGTAAGACACAATTAAAAAAAAACCCACAAAATTTCTCAAAATAGATTAGAATACAGGAAACGTTTCATGAAACTACTGAGATACTAACCAGTTCTATGGCTAATATTAAAAACTGAACAATCTATTTAGATCGTACTCAAACTATTTCTATACACAGTGAACAAAACAACCACAATAATCAATCTCAAGCTAGCAACAAAGTTGCAAGGTCCATAAAAAGCTTCTTCAGTGGGCAAAACACTATGGTACAATTAAAACACTTAGGGGAAAAGAGCCTTTCAACAGTATAAAAGTTGTTTACTGGTGTTTCTACTATAAAGCTATTCTACAAATCAGAATGAAAAAGCAATTATACATGTGACAGTGATCAGAGACTACAGTCCAGACATTTCATCTAATGTGTGGCCGATGAGCTCCAGTATAACGGATTATGACTTAGTATTTTGTACACAGTTAGGACTTAGAGCAGAACTAAAAACAAACAAAAAACACTACATATGTAGTATGTATCCCAACTCAGGATGCTGTTCTCATCAATATCTGGGTTTAGATGAATCTGGAGGAAGTAGGTAAAGCTGTCAAATGTCTTCTCTTAAACCAACAGAAAAAATGTAAATTGGTAGAAATGGTATTTTTTTTTTAAACTATGGGTTCCAATGTGAACTTCTCGTAAGTATGCAAGGACATTATCAACATTGAAGCACCCCCCTAAATATGCACACAGCCCACTTATTAAATAGGGGAATTGAAGAGACTTTCAAGCTAAAATGAATTTAAAGAAAAACTGCCTATGCAAATATGAAAGGTACACAAAACTGTAAAATAAATAATGAATCCAGGTGTCAACTAAACCTCCACAGAATTATGCCTGCAAATGTGGATGTAACAATTGTCCACACTTGGGACGGTCTGGGTGGGAAGACATTCCCCAAGGGCGAGACGCCTACTTTCTCTGACTCCATCGAGGACATCAAGAACTGCTAAACATACACTGGTGCTGACTCTATTTTATATTATAGCCTTTCTGACAGTCACCATCCTTATCACATTTGGGGTTAACTTACTAAGACTTAATCTATTCAACACATTCGTCAACAACAATGTTTAAGTCACGGCTTTTACACATCAGTTCACTTATTTCAAGTTCTCTGTCCAAGGACCAGCTTCCTATTTTTATGATGAGAGAATGATATACTACAATTCGAATCAACTACGTAAGAGAGATTTTCTACTCTCTTGTTCATCTTTTAAACTTTACTTTAGTATTTATTAATTGCGTAAGTGGGTCTGAGCCAGCAAAAGTGACATTTTACTTCCAAAAGTGACACATTTCCTGTTAAACAAAGTTGGTTTTATCAAATATTAAATCCACAATATTTTCCTTGGTTTGAATTAAGCATTTGCTTTCCATTTTTCCAAAACCATTGCAACCTTGTCAATAACTACATCGCTTAAACTTTCTTTATGACTGCAAAGATTCTAAACTCTAACCTATAATAATATTTATGCTAAACACACTTAAAATAGTGAAATTTCAAGTAAAATAAACTGTATCCACATTTACTGGACCAAACATGTCTCCACATCTAGATTTTACTTCTATAAATTACACAAATACATTGTACATTCTTAAATAATGAATGCTTACAATATTAATTTGTAAGCTTTTCCACATAAAACGACTTACACAGGAATGTGAATGGATCAGTATTTCTGTTACAGACTGCAACATTCTCTCAATTTTCTCCTTTGTGGCTGCCGTGTTCCCTTCCTGGTTTCCGCAGACTCCGAATCAGTCCTTATGCTTTGGCTATGAAGTCTGTTTGAGTGAATGAGGCAACGCTGGTTATTAAGGCGTGTTCTATGACGGAGCATTATCCTTCAACTGCCATTTCCAGAGAACAGTGGGAGAATCACAGCTATCTTGAATCTTCAGGCTCTGTTTTGATGACTTTCTTTTCTAACGTGAAAGCTGAGTGAGGGTAGTCTTTTAAAATCCCAAGACTCTCTGCATAAAAATGGAAACACAAAGTGTGTTGATACTTTAAATCCATGGATCATAAAAAACAAATTCCAATTTATGAAACCAACCCCCAATCTCCACAGCAAACAGTTTCAACTATTCATAATTCTGCAATTCCATACAGAAATTTTATATTTATAGAGTTGCAATTAAAAGCTTGGATTCTGGGGGCGCCTGGGTGGCTCAGTTGTTAAGCTGATGCCTTTGGCTCAGGTCATGATCCCAGGGTCTTGGGGTCGAGCCCCATATCGGGCTTTCTGGTCAACGGGAAGCCTGTTTCTCCCTCTCCCTTTCCTACTCCCCCTGTTTGTGTTCCCTATCTCGTTGTGTCTCTCTCTGTCAAATAAATAAATAAAATCCCCCTCCCCCCGACAAAAAAAAAGAGCTTGGATTCTGGATTTAAATTCCATCTCTGCCAGTTACTAGCTGTGTACATCTCCAGGCAACTCACATACCTCTCTAGACCTTAGTATCTTTCTTCTTCTATAAAATGGGGATAGTTATCTATATAGGGTGGCATGAGAGTTAAGTCATAAAAGGCACAAAAATGCATACAGACCATATTTTTCTTTGATGGTTAGTTCAACATTAAAAAAACATGTAAAAAAAAACTGGTCATGCATCTACAAAAAAAGTTACTAGTAAAATAGTTAATTACTATCAGTGAAAAAGAGACAGAAAACATCTTCCATATTTAAACATGGAACCTTATGAAAAGTTCTGGCCACAAAACAGGAGGGTGGGAGAAACAAGATCAAAGAATGAAGGCCACTCCCGTAAGGACCCGTTCCTTGGAGTTATGCGTGTGTAGTTACTTCAACCTCATGAGGACACTACAAACGACAAGAAAATGTAGTATCTATGCGAAGGACTAATGCTGGAAGATACATATCCACACACGCGTGTACACACACACGCACCCTTTGAAAAGGATTCTAGACGTGTAACCAAAACTAACAGCTCAACTGAAATTAGGCAGCTCAATTTATGAATTTGCTCTCTCTATGCAAAAGTAGATTTTAAAATTAGCAAGAGTCTAGAAATAGTAGCTACCATTTACAGGATTCCTATCAGCGAGGCGATTCGTACGTGCTACCTTGTTTAATATTCTCACCTACTCTACGCAGCAGAAACGATGTCTGTTTCACAGATGAAGCAACAGCATTCAAGGGACTCCTGACGCTACTTTACCTCCAAGATGGTAGGGTACCAGATACTTTCAAACAAGGCTACTCTCTAATACTTTGTCTAACTCACTTTTTCGTGGGGAAAAGAGTCAAGCACCTAACTATAATACGGAACAGCTTATCCTGTGATGGAGTTCAGTTTAATTCTAAACTATAAATACCATCCCCGAAATGCACCTGCAAGGAAAGTTTAGATTTTGGTTTACAAGGTTTCCTTAGTTTGCAAGTAAACATGCAATCCATTGATTTCACAGTATGAAAGGCTGGAAAAAGGCAATTACATAACTCAAATCAGCCAGGTATTATCAGGTTTAAAATTCTGTATAACAGTTAATCAAAATAGTATCATCCTTCATGAGTTTTTCCCTGTCAATTCTTTGGAATACCATGTTCTAAAAATAAGTGGCCATTATTATGGCAATCTATTATTTCCAAAGGGAGAAAAACTGGTAACAGTAATGAACCTTTTTATTGGCTGGGAATGGGGGAGAGGAGTGGAAATAGTGGAAGGTAGGAAAACAGAATTTAACAATGTCTTATTCGAGTGTCACTCTCTCTAATCACATCCCATATGCTTACCTGATTGGGACTTTGCCGCACTGGAGTAAAGTCTACTCAGCTCTCCCTCCACCACAAAATGATGGGGTTGTCTGTTCTGTAAATTAGGCATTCGGAGATTCAAAGGTCTTTCTCCTAAAGGAAAAGGAAAAAAAAAAGTATGAATAATATTAAAAACATACTATGGTTTTTCTTAAAAATATATTTTTTTGGAAGATTTTATTTATTTGACAGAAAGAGACACAGCAAGAGAGAGAACACAAGCAGGGGGAGTGGGAGAGGGAGAAGCAGCCTTCCCGCCAAGCAGGGAGCCTGACGCGGGGCTCGATCCCAGGACCCTGGGATCATGACCTGGGCCAAAAGCAGACGCTTAATGACTGAGCCACCCAGGTGCCCCAAAAATACATTTTCATGAATTCCCTGAACACTACTTAGGAAAGGAATAAGGAAAGCCAATAGGCACTAAAGAATTTAAATAATAGCTGAGAAATATTTTAAATAACAGTTTAGGAAGGAAATGGCGACTCACGCTAGTTGCAAGGTGTACAACTCTGCCAGGACGTTTTTCAGAGTAAAACATGAACCAAACAAAAGACTGAGATTTCCAGTAAGCACTCCAGCTCTGGCATAGAGTACGTCCCCTCTGTAAGGCATTTTCTCACCAGCGCACAGTTTACCAAGACGTGTCATTAACACATAATGTAACAAGTGCTAGAGAAACAGAGATGGCTCCACAACTGCCCATTACTGAACAGCGGAACCCGTGGCAAACCCAAGAAGACAGAAGTAGCACAGACAAGGTAAAAATGCGTAAAAGCCACATCACCTTCTGTCATACACCTAGACCCACAAGCTTAGCAGAGTGCCACCCCACGTGTCATTATCCTGGCTCCACCAATTACGGTCATTCGGTCTCTCACTAATTTTGCTTTTGCTTCTTAAACTCTTAAGTCTTAACTGTCAAGGATGATTGGAGAGGTTAAACAAGACCTCAACTCAGCAGTTTCTGTAACATCTTTTAAAAGGAAGAATACTCTTCTCCTCCAGCACTCTGGTCTGCTGACATATTTTACTCTCCAGGCGGAGAATGCTTGTTAAGATAATATTCTCACTTAGAAATCTATTTTTTTTTTTTTTGACAATGGTAGCCACTCACTAGAAAAGTATAGCAATATGTAAAACAAGAAGGTCCTACAAAATTACTGTTTTTCTTCAAACACACATCACTATCTGAATCTCTGTGTCATGTGCTGTACATCTGCCTCCACTGGAGAGTGAGCTGCGAGCCAGCAGGGACTTAACACCACCGATGCACCCATGGTGCCCAGAAGCGCGTCTGGCACGCCAGAAGATACTATGAGTGCACGACAACAACGTGAGATTTCCTTCGTGTGTCCATGCAACAAAAATGAAAAAAAAATTTCAAATTGATAAAAATATTCATAAATCACAGCTCTCTAAACTTAGGAGTTTAAGAGAACCATTGCTAACGCACCACACCAAATAGTTTCATAGAGACCGTGGCCAATCTAAAGCCTGAAGAACACAAAACTTGAAGTCTCTCCATTCTTCTACTACCTCTACACATCTCCGTACTCCTGTCCCAGTGCTTGAGAAGCAGTTACCATATCCTCTTAGAAACCAGATGTTATAAATTTCATAGACGAATTTGTTTTTGAAGTCCAAGAAAATATGAAGCTGTGAGCTTTTAAAAACTGATAAATGTCTCCCATGGCATCGGGTTCTTTGGGGAAAAGGATCTTTACTGTTTACATGTCCCATTCCCATTCACCCCGTACAAAATACGGGTCAACTGCACGGGTCAGCTAGTTTAGGGATAATAAGGTAAAAAAAACAAACATACAAACAAAACAAGCCCAAAACTTTTGCTAGTTAAATCAGCAGAATGAATCCTTTCCTTTTGTGAAAAAGAGACAATTTGAAGATGAAGTTTTATGGGGAACAAAGAACATAATCGCTCTAAAATACCAGGATTTAAAAACAAGCCGACTTCTGCTGCTCTCTACAGTGCACACAGCCCCCGGCTCGCAGAGTGCAGGTCATCTAAGACCCACCTTGCCCATCCGAGGTGTCAGAAGCCGCGCCGTTCGGGCTGTGCTCCTCGGAGGCCTGCCTGTAGAGCCCCGCCGGGAGCCTCCGCTCGGCGTGCTGCAGTCTCTCATAGCCAGCTGGGGTGCAAAGGAACTCCATCTGCTTTGCCATCACCTTTTCAGGCTGCTAGTAAGTAAAGCAAAAATAAAATCAGGAACTAAAACAGTCTACATTTTTTTTTAATGCTTTAAAGATGCCAATTTCAGACTCCAGCAAATATATTTAGTATTCATTAAATTAGTTCACACTTCATGTGGTATACACGTTCCATAAATATGCTTAGATGTCTATATCATCATGTTAAAACATAAAATGTTGGATTCTGTGCAAGAGGGGGAAAAAGAAAAACCTTCCTGCTCGTCCTTTAAAGAGAATTCCATATTTCAGCTCAAAGGCAAAATAACCTTAGCTTTGTTTCCCGAAGTACTGGGTCCTTTAAAATATTTTTTAAAAAAGGAACCTCAGAGCAACAGCAACATCTGCTAGAAACTGCTTCTAACACACAGGGTGAGATCTTGGCATTCTTATCTTAGGATCTGGCACTACGCATACTCTGCTATGATGACAGCATGTTGGGGGAGAAAAGGTGTAAAATGGCTGTCTAGAAGGACAAGACAAACACCCCTCCCACCGAAATTAAACAATGCAAATTATGCAGGAAAAACATCAGTGCCAATGAGACTCTCCCCTTCACCATGGAATGAAACTGCAGTATTTCCCAACCAATCATAAAAAGACAACTTTAAAATACACAAGTAAAGGGCGCCTGGGTGGCTCAGCGGGTTAAGCCTCTGCCTTCAGCTCAGGTACATGATCTCAGGGTCCTGGGATTGAGTCCCACATCGGGCTCTCTGCTCAGCGGGGAGCCTGCTTTCCCCCCCCTTTCTCTGCCTGCCTCTCTGCCTACTTGTGATCTCCTGTCAAATAAATAAATAAAATCTTTAAAAAAAATACACAAGTAAATAGAAACTTATCTCTGCCATGTGTTTTTTAAGTTCCTTCTTTACGTACTGCTTTAAATTACTTATATGTGATATTCAAAGCAGTACATTTGTGATATTCTGCCAAGGAAGTTAATAGTCAAAATGCAGATAGGACTCACTGCTGTGCCATACAGAAGGGTAGTACAAGGAAGCCGCTGTACAGAATTAGTTCCAAAAAAATCCTGATTCACGATAGTAAAAATCAATAAATAAAAAATATTAACTCACAGAATAGGATAAAAGCTTATACTATTTTTCTGAATGCACATAAACCAGATCAAAAGGAGCTTTAACTTTAATTCATTTGAACTTATTACTAATTAATTGGGAAAATTTCAGTAAGATTTCTAAAGAGGAAGTGTATTCTTCATTCTCTTAATTAAAAAAAACAAAACTTGGCACTACTGACTTTGACCAAGAGCAGTTGCCAGGCAGAAGATCAACAGGAATAAAACTTATAGTCCTTTCTAAAAAGTGGCATTTGCAGAGATGACTTTTTAAAAAAGTTAATTTAAGGATACAATGATGAAACAATAGCAAAAGCACCCGAAGATACATATTAAGGCAAGAATTTTTTCTCATCCATGAATCAAAATGACTTAAAAATAACTACCATGCTGATGATTAATGTTTTCTTGAGAACTAGTCCTGTTTTATCTCAAAGTTCTATAACACACAGCCATAATCAACATGGCTTTCTTCCTGGTATCAAATTCCTCTACCTCTAGGTAGAGACTCTGTGTTTCTTCCTACAAAACTACAAAGAGTAAATATCACTGTATCAGATTCTGCTCATAACCCAATCAAACTATGTTGTCACTGCTCTCTTGTTGACACAGCTGTGCATCAGTTGACTTTTCAGAAACAACCAGAAATAAATCCAATCCTCAGAGGCTTAAAACTGAAGCTAGCTGAAGCACCCGTTTGTTTTTCAATCTACAGGTATTATTATGAAACGTTTACTGGTGGTTTGCGTTACCTGTGAACCAAGGGCAGCAAGCTCTTCGCTCTTCGCTTTGGCCTGCTGGAAAAGCGTTTGCACAGAGTCCTGGAAATCTGGAAATCCATCCTATGGGTCAACAATTAAGTCCTTTTTAGAATTTGTAAATTAAATACCAACAACTCAGAAAACAGAACAACAACAACCAAACACTTTGATCCTACTGCCCAAGTAACCATGATTAAGATTTTAATGTATAATACTTCCTTTCAGTCTTTTATGGTACAATTACCTTATTTCTACACTTGTAACTTCACTAAAAATACAAACGAAAAAGATAGTAAGAATTACACATCTACATTGGAATGCAGACTTCATGAGCATCAATAGGAATGACTGTGTAACGTTTCATATAGCATTTCACCTAGTGGCTCAACTAGTAATAATCACTATTTTTACATCGGACATTTAGACTCTTATTTTTAGGTTGAAAAACACTGCAAAAGTATTTTCACAGGAACAGCCCTTTCCATAGCTTAGGTTGCCCAGTACAGTAGATTCCTAGTCTAATTACTGCAAAGGGATGGACATTTTTATGAACATTTTTCATTCACTACTTCCCCCAAAGGCCTTTACTGGCTAACAGACTCTAAGTTTTCCTCGCCAGCACTGGGTCTTGTTGTTTTCTTAATTTTTGCCAATTCATATTTTTGTATTGATATTCAAAATTTTTTAAATGTTATACACTGTAGCTGTATACACTTTTATTTTGTAAATTCTTCTATAACTGTAAGCTTCAGAAAGGCATTCTGCTTTAGAGATTTGACAAATACTCAAATCTACCCTCTAGTTTTTCTAAAGCTTTACTTGTTTGCTTTGTTTCTAAAATCTCTCTAACCCATCAAGAATTTATTCTGTTCTATGTACAACGTGAATGGTCTTCAAAGTGCTCCCCTATAACCCCAATCCGAATTTCTGAAGAATTCTTCCATGCCGAGTGGTCATTTCTCCTTCAGCATCTCACATGACAGGAAACAGGGATTTGAATTAGAACGACCCGCACTGGAGGCTCCTGAGGGGCACAGTTCGGTAAGCAGCCGACTCTGATTTCAGCTCAGGTTGTGATCTCGGGGTCCTGGGATGGAGCCCCAAGTCAGGCTCCCTGCTCAGTAGGGAATGTGCTTCAGGTCTCTCTCATTCTCTCTCTCCCTGTCACCCCACTGCTTGCTCTCACACTCTCTCTAAAATAAATCAATCTTCAAAGAAGGAGGAGGAGGAGAAGAAATAAAAAAGGCCTGCACTCATGTTCCAATTCTACCACTTACCAGCTACGGAACACCAGAGAAATAACTCAACCTTTCAGAATGTTAGTTTCCTAATTATTCCTAAATATTTTCACGAAAAATACAGGTAAGAGCACCTCTCTGTGAGGGTTGTTGTGAGTTGTGAGGATGTGGTCACTTAGCGCATAATCACTGCCATGTAAGTGTGTCAACACACACTAAACTCCTCCATGAAACAGCTTACTCGAGGTGCTCTCCTCCTGCACAGCACATCAACTTAAATGACTTTCACTGAACTTTTTATTATGAAAGGCCAATCCATCTACTACTTTTTTCAGGTTGTTTAGTGGTTTTTACTCATTTACTGCTTTACATGAAATTTATATCCACAAACATGACAACAGCGTGATTTTAGTAAATTTACTATAAACTACTGAAGCATTCCTCACAGAAATGGTCATGACCTCCAAAATATTTCTCCCCTAGTTTCATGAACTATGTATTTGTAGCAAAGGATAAATCATTAAAAACCAAAGTTCTTATAATAACCTAGAAGAGATGTAATAATAACACAATATTGTATCTGAAGTAAGGGATACAGATTCAGAAGTTTTTTCCCCATCAGGGTCTTATTTCTCCATGGTGACTCTCATGTTTTCAAAAATTTCATCTACCAAAATTCATTTCTTAAGTAATTTGCCATTTTTAAATTCAAAGACATGAAATAGAGTCAAGGGCAAATAAATCTGACATCTCCAGATAGTCTCATGTAGCTTTATGATGGGTCAACATACAATCAGCATTTATTTGAGAGAGAGAGAGAGAGAAAGAAAGAGAACTCAAGCAAGCAGGGGGAGGGGCAGAGGGAAGAGACCCCCTGCTGAGCAAAGAGCCCAACTCGGGGATCCCAGGACCCTGGAATCACAACCCCAACCAAAGGCAGACACCCAACCAACCAAGCCTCCCAAGTGCCCCCAATCAGTATTTTTAAAACACTGAAAATAGCTACCTTTCAAGGCCCCCCAGACCGAGGACTCAGAGGGACGTATGGCATATAATTGTTAACTGAGCTAGAATGAACGTTATACAAATGGATGCAATTTAAATCTAAGCGAAAAGTACACGTGCTTCGTCATTCAATTTTTCTCTAAGAACTTATTCAGACCTAAATCTAGCTTTCTCTTAGCAGTCTCTCCTTCAAGTGAAGAGCACTCATCTGTCAGGGTTGGTCAGTGAGTTCAACAGGGGAGACTGGGAGAAGACCTGGGAAACGAGAAGCTATCATTTTCCAGGTGACGACCACGTGCCCCCAGTTCCCCACTGCGTTGTGCATTTCACGTGTGTCCACCTAATTTAATCCCCAGCACAGATGCCCACAGGCTCCTCTCATGTCACGGCTCGGACAGTGGCTTCGAAGCCTCTATTCCTGTTCGGCATTTTTAAGGTGCACGGCAGTAAATGCAGGCACAGCTCTCACAGCGCTCATTCTCCCAGCTGAACCGGCCTACCTCTGCGATCTACATGGAATTCAAAACCCCATCCTACTACCGACTGGCTGCGATACTGGACAGACTGTTTCTTCTTTGTGTGTCTACTCAGCTAACTGCAGAACCGTTTTAAGGAACAAAAACTCATCAAGAACACTTAGCACAGTGCTTGGCACATAGATATCACCCAATTAAAGGTCTGCTACTGGTATTTATTAAGTTCCCTTTTCAAGCTCCCAGAGTAATCACAGTAAAACAGACAGCAGGCTACAAGTGACTTACTGCATGTCTATGGTACAGGGGAACTAAGATAAATTTGGGGGAAATTTACACAGTATAAACATCTTAGAGATCACTTACATAGTATAAGATATCTTGGGTATTTAACACTAAAACCAGCAAGAAAATATTGAACATATTGGTAGGGAATGGTTTTAGTGGAAAGAACAACAGAAATCTGGAAATAATTGTTTATTCACTCATCAAAAATTTCTTGTTTGCCCAACAGGTTCTAAATTCTGTACTCAATGCTGGGGATTCGATGACTCCTGCCTCCTGACAAGTAGTCTAGAGGAAGAAAAGGATGAAGAGATCCAGAGCAGAGTGGAGGCCAGCGTCCGGGGAGCCTTCTGAGAGGGCATGACACTAGGCCGCGACATGAAAGAAGAGAATTCTCCAGGGAGAGAGCAGCGTGTATAGAAGCCTAGAGGTGGAAAGAATGGGACGGCATCCCTCAGAAGCTGGAGAACTACGGCTACCAGGGGAAATACACTGAGAAAGAGGCAACGGTGAGAGAAACTGGACACGCAGGCCCAAATTCTGTGAGACCTTGTAAGCCATGTTAAGAATTGTCGATTTTATCTTAAATTCAAGAGAAGCCACTGAAGGTCTTGGGGAAGAAACAAACTGATCTGTGTTTCTGAAAGCTCTGTCTGAACGTGCGGGAGACAATGTATAGTTCGAGCTTTTCAGGAAGGCCTGGGCAGGGCGTGCCCAGGCCAGAACCTCCAGGACTCCCGCGCTGTTTCTAAAGGACCTTACAGAAGAGCGAGCGATCTAGTCTTCTTGTGCTAAGAATTCGATGTGTGACCCCAGGCAGGGAAGTTAACCTCATGATTTCCAGTGTTCCCAATTTTTAAGTGGAAATTACACCACCTGCTATATCCACCCAATGGAGAGTCATGGGGGTTAAATGCTGTAACGCAAACGGCAACTCTCGGAAAAGCGCCCGTTGCTACACAAACACGTGGTGGCTCCACTGGCAGAATGCTTAACCAGGAGAATGCGACAAAGCTGGAAGGGGGACTGCAAACTGCATGTGGCCGTTTCTGGGAAACAGACACTGCTCCTTCATTGATGGAGAGAGGCAAAGACATGTAGTTAGCAACGTACACCTTACCAAGCAAGCAGCAATCTCGAGAGACTGGGTGCGAGTCACTCTGATTCGCTCCAACCGTCTCTGACTATTCCCTACGGGCAAACCACAAGGCTCAGTACCGTCACTCCCCGACCTACGTCTGCAGGGACCCAAAATACGTGGCTTAGAGAGAAGAGAGAGAACATTCCCCAGAAACTGGTCTCTTTCACGAGACGTCTGGTGCCGGACTTCTGCGGCACATCTCTCAAGCTTTTTTCCCCAGGCAGCAGCCGGACCACGCTACGAGCCATTCATCTGCAAGGTCGTCTTCATGTCACCTTCCTGTCACGGTTACCACCACTAACCACAGGCTCCCTCACTGCTGAGCACGGAGAAAACAAGACCCGGGGTGGGATGCTGTTCGTGACCTCGGGACTCTCAGGCCGCTGGGTCCACCCCCACACCTCCCCAACCTCGCCCCCGAATACCACAGGCTGCTTTACAGCCGCTGCTTAGCTTCAAAACGGCTTGTTTCCACAGATGTTCTAGGCCTCACACATGCATTTTCCTTTTTTTTTTTTCCTCTTTTACTCACACTTTCTCTATGAATAGCAGATTGTAATGCTTCTTGTTTTCGGATCCAAAGGGGGAAGAGTCTACATCAAATTAGACCAGCTTGCCTTCAACAACCTCAGTAAACTCGTAGGTGGATGTTCTGACCCTCTTCCCTCCCCCTGCCTCCCTCTCCCACCCCTACCCCGCTGGAACTGCTCGCAGATGTTTCCTCTAAGTCTTTCAAGGTCCAATTCTCTGACTTTCTGGTCTCTATTAACAAACTACATTTCTTTCATCCAGCTCTCTCTGATTGCTTTGCACTCCTAGCCCACACAGGATCAAGAATGCTGTCCCCTCCCATCTCTCTGCCTGGCCTCCAGCAAGTTCGGTGAGCGAAGAAAAGCTACAGATGAGATCTGAACGGCACCAGCCCCTGCAGTCAGCTCC